TATGATGGGATGCCCTCAAAGGCCTGATGATGTTATGACATGTACCTATGCACGACATGACATTCATACGCATATGCATGACACTATAAGTATTTCATGATTTACAGAGTTATCCAGACTTACAGGTTGAGTCATTTACTCTATATTTCTTCCATGTCTTTTCTGTACTTATTTATGTGCCACATATACTCGGTACATTATTCGTACTGACGTCCCTTTTGCCTGGAGACGCTGCGTTTCATGCCCGTAGGTCCTGATAGACAGGCCGAGAGTCCTCCAAGTAGGCTATCAGCTCAGCGAAAGATGTTGGTGCGCTCCATTTGCTCCGGAGTTGTTTGTTTGGTCAGTATGATTTAGACGCATATTGTTTTGTATGGCGGGGCCCTGTCCGACCTTTATGTTAACTGTGTACTCTTAGAGGCTTGTAGACAGATGTCATGTATATGGATGCTTGTATGGCCTTGCCGGCCTATGTTTTGAGTTTACAAATGATCATGTTGGCCTTATAGGCCCGTATATCACATGTATAAGTTTTTATATCAAGTTGGGTCGTCCTATATTGAGTATCCCTCTATGTTTATTCTGGTTAGCCCATGACGGCCCGTTTGGCCCATTTGCCAATGAAAGTACAATATGAAAGATATGTTATGTTGGTACTCGGTTAAGTAAGGGCACCGGGTGCCTGTCGCGGCCCATCGATTTTGGTCGTGACACATAAGACTGAATTACCTAGGATGCCTGTGCCCATAAGAAATCGCGGAGCCACCCATTAATAGTAATAGAACTTTGCGCAAAGTTTCCTCCCATGATATGAGTTACTAGTTTTAACTTTTTACCTTACAATAAAAAAGAGGTAAAGTAGCTATAGCCTTAAAAAGCGTAATACTTGGAAGATAGCATAAAAAATCCTAAGAAACTAAATAGAGAAGCCTGTTAAAAATAGAATTCTATTTATGGTGAACGTCTATATTTAGAGAGATTCTGGGGTTTATTACTTGGTGGCTAAGTCAACCTCTCCCTATAAATAGAGGGTTCTATTCCATTGTAATTCATCCCAGAATCAATAAGAATTCTCTCTCTCTACTTTTCTCTGCAATACTATTCTTCTTCTTTTATTGTTTTATAACACGTTATCAGCACGAGACTCTAACCAATTGAGTAGAAGCTTTGGGATTGAGCATAATGATGGTCAATTATTCCATGAACTTCCTTCATGATTAAATTCTGGATTTAAGGTAAGTATTTTACTGTATTTTTCTCTTTTATTCTATACTTTGATTTTAAATACAAGCAAAGATAACAAAGTTTGATTATAACTCTAATGGAGTTTGTAAGAAATTATAACCACCTGAAGTGGTAAAATTTCTATGCCTCGCCATGATCAAATTCATGTATGATTGTGGACAAAGAATTGAAAACCCGTCCTATTGAATTTGCTCCATTCTCATTCCCTTAAGAGAATGTGATAGCAGTATGTGATAAGTCTAAAAGAAGACAAAATTATTACTATGAATGTATCAATGGATATGAACGTGGCAATAGAAGAAATTATAATCGTCATCATTGTGATAATGAGAATAACAAGGATTCTCAAAATAAGCCTCCACTCTGTGAAGTTGATGTTTGTCATCGATTTGACATAAGATTTCGTAAAGCACATACAGATGCTTATGGTCCATTCATGATGTGAATGTGATAACATCTTATTTATGAATACATATTCATTTTTCAAAGAATATGAACGTGCTAGTGGTAGTGAATATACCGCACTCACCTCTAAAAGGAGGTTTGAGATGATATAAGAAAATAATATCATTATTATGGCATGAATGATCATTGGTCACGTACCTATTGTACGCCAAAATATTTTGGCAATATGATTATTAAAGGACAACAATAATGCAAGAAACATATCTTGAGTATAATTTTGACCATGACCATAATGGTATAACTTTCTCCTTAAAAGAGATATTCACGTTATGGATGTTGATGAATATGTGGTACTACAAAATTAATTGAGAGCTCTGCAAGAGCCAATTATACTATTTTGGAGAAACACAATTGATTACCAATAAGGTATTGTGTTGTAGTAAGTCTCAAAGAAACTTATTCAGTTTCCAAAGTATACGCGAAAGCGGTTGATTATATTGAGACTATAAATAAAGGAAAGATTTAATATCTTCTATTACTACAACTTGTAGCGGGGTAATATGTATGTGAAAAGCTACCCGCTTTATTCTCCAGTTTGTACTACACAAATAAAAGAATACCACAATAAAGCGGAAGTTTATTGATATAAAAACCCATATCATAATAAACTTGGAGTTTATTGATAATTGCACACGTCATGGTGTAAATCTGAAGTTTATCAATATTGATAATTTATTCAGTTGGCATAATTGGTTTACCCATATCAATTTAAGTATGATGTGCAAAAATAAAAGAGAATTCACATGGGTAAATATTAAAGAACTAGAAAGTTCTTTACGAATTCTCTTATGTTGCTTGTTCTCATTAATTAATAGACCAACTAAAATTGGGATTGAATCCCATGAATGCTGGAAATATCAAAGGTGAATATGGGCCCATTCACCTGCCATGTATACCACATAAGATGCATCTATGAGATGGTTACATGTGCGATTATTATTAACCCGCAACATGGTGTTTGCGAGGTAACTTGCTCAATAATTTAATTTAGAGCATAATTTCCAAATTTTTTATTCAAGATAGTTCATCTTGACAAGTTGGTCTACATCACAACTGGTTTAGCAAAATGATTTATTGAGTGCCTCCACTTAATAGCTAAACAATTGCTTATGAGAACAAAGTTTTGTATATCAGTTTGATATACGTTATATACGAAAGTATATTATTTTCTCCCTTCACAAGTGGTTCATGGTCAGGAACCAAATAATTCCATCTTATTATTATTGATGTGCGGTGTATATTTTGATTAACACCATAACGCACAAAGATGGGTTCTCAAAGTTGAGGAAACAAGTTAGTTTTTCTAACATGAGGGGGAGACAAGATACAACAGTTGAGAGAAAGTTACATGGAATGAATTATCATTTATATATTTAGATCCTCGAATAAAATAATATGAACTTGAAGTTCATAAAAGGATAATTCATTTGCAATATATTGCAAAGCATGCCAGACGCATTTGCTGAACCAAAGAAAGTAACTATATTCTCATTGCAAATGCTCCTATTAAGTCCTAGAAGGGCAAAGTCTATGGTACGCTTAAAGCATATAGACAAATCAGTTTCAAATAAAACTTCTTGATAAAGAAGATGAGTAAATGATCAAAATGATCATAATAAAGGAGGCAAGTGATCTGGAAGATCGCATGACATAACGCTTCATTAAATCTCATGAGAGATTCAGGTACCTGAATATATGAATGAAGAGATCTCTATGTTATGTCTTTATTAAAAATGTTGAAACCAATATAAAATGTTCGTCGACGACATCTAGGATCTTAAGTCTGGAGAAATAATTCAAATAGAATTGGTTTCATATGAAAGACATGTAGTTTTGGACTTGCAGTTCAAACACTTGAAAGTACAAAGTCAATGGTATGTGCAATCAGTTTTCGATATCTTATATGTCTAGCATGACATAAAAACTTGATATGCATCTAAAGTCTGTTATATGGCTTATATGACTTAACAATCCCTGAAGGATTTAAATTGCTTAAAGCATATAGAATTCATGGTCATGAAGTACTACATCCTCAATGCAATTTGTGCACAAATGTATCTTGCTATAAATATATGCATGATAATATGATAGCAAGAGTTTTCACCTCTATGTGAAGATATTGAACTGACGATTCCAACAAGATCATATGAAGACAATTCATCTCTATCAAGAATGATGATTTCAAGGTGCAATATATTCATTCAAGTTAATATGGCTGATTTGTTCATCAAATCTCTACCAAAGATCTTTTGAAGATGGTGCACAAGATTGGAATGCAAATGCTTAAGGATGTGAATTGATGCTCTCATCAGGGGGAGTTAACACGCGTTGTACTCTTTTTCCCTTACAAGGTTTTGTCCCACTGGGTTTTCCTTGCAAGGACCAAAAGGCATATTGTTAGATATGTGTACTCTTTTCCTTTCCTAGAATATTTTTTCCCACTGGGTTTTATTTTAGTTAAGGTTTTAACGAGGCACATTATCTGTTGAATAAACATTCAAGGGGGAGTGTTATAAATAGAATTCTATTTATGGTGAATGTCTATATTTAGAGAGATTCTAGGGTTTATTTCTTGGTGGCTAAGTCAACCCCTCCCTATAAATAGAGGGTTCTATTCCATTGTAATTCATCCCAAAATCAATAAAAATTCTCTCTCTCTACTTTTCTCTGCAATACTATTCTTCTTCTTTTATTGTTTTATAACAAAGCCCATGTTATAGATGAACTAATTATTCTGGGGTTTGTAACTATTTAATAGATGAAAAATATTCATTCTTAAAAACATGAACCATCTAAATACTTGACAAAAAAAAATCATAATTATATATACTTCAGTGACTTTGCCTTTATTAATAAAGTATATTTTTATGAATTCTGATTATTCTTCTTTCAATTATCTGACAAAAAGTTCATGTTTTCATAAAAAGGAATGAAAGAAAGAATAAATCTAAGAGGAAAACCAAAGAAACACCAATATTTGTAATACTTGTTATATTTATTATAAACCCAACAATATACTACCTCATTAGCTTCTGCTTATTCTCCCAAATTCCATTACCCAAACGATCCTAATTGATTGTTTGCCCCGTATAACTATAAAAACAACGTATTTATCCTTGCATTTATACCATTATGTCATTTTTTTAATACCAATGACGTACGACCAACTTGCGCGCACACCATAACGTATTATGTCAAAAGAATATATACACAAGAATACACAGAGAGTGGGGCATTATGTCATAGCAAATTTAGCTAAACTGATACACCCTTTCTTATACAAAACAAAGGAAAATAAAAATGGTGCACGCTGCATCAAAGATCTTTGTATTATAAGCCTTCCAACTTTACCCTACATATTTCAAGAACCTCACAATGAGTCAAAAGAATGACTTAGGTTAACATTTTACAAGACAAGCTTTTTCACAGAGCTGGCTATTCTGTCTTGAAAATATGTACCATAACATGAAAAATATAAAAATAACAGGAAAAAAAAGAAAGAAAGATCATTAGACGTTAATATCTGAACGCTTAGATCTGGCACTGCTGATTTCTTGGTTGCTCATAAAGGCAAATCTGGGGATGTTATAATTGTCAGGTGTAGACATAGGCTGCTGTGGGTAAAGCGTGGGAGGCGGTGTGAGATTGCGTTGAGCTGGTAAAGGAGGGAGTGCATTGTACTTGTATTCACCGATATAACTGCAACAAGCGGAGTAAATTATGAATATGATTTAAAGAACAGGTAACATAAGAGTTACTGAAAACAATACCAGTAAGAAGACACCTGTTGTCACTGAATATGGTACTACTCTATAACATAAAAGTCTCTCCGCCCCAATCACCACTATTGGAAGGTATCAACTATACGTCAACAGAAGCGAAAAAGACCTTATTATCATTAAGACATGTAGATTTGCCCCACAATCCTTCATAGTTCACATCTAAGTTGCTCGGACTCGAGTGCGGGTAAGGATCCGAGAGTCGGATTCAGCAAGATCTAAATTTTAAGATTCGAGGGTGCGGATCCAGGTATGGATATGAGTGCTGGAATTCGGCTAATAAAATTCAAAATTATAAAAAAAGAGCTATAAAGATATTCTAAACTTGGAGAGATATTCTATATATATATATATATATATATATTCCTATTCCTACTTCTTAGAAGAGGGAATACACACAGCTCACGGTCAACATGCCTGCTTCATAGGGGCGCACGGGCTATCCATGCAGCGACTATGAGACAAAAGGTCTATAATATTGAAGCTATGCCATTTCCCATGTCTCAAATCTGTTTTATCTTTTATTTTGAGAAATCAAATCTCAATTTTCCCCCCAAATCTGTCCATGGACTTCCGGTCAAAGTATCCGAAGTTGGTTGACCGAATCCGAAACGTATCCCGCATCCGTCCAAGTGTCGTGATAAAATATGAAGAGTCCGTGCAACTTAGGTTAACATTCAGTGACCATCAGTCCGATAGTCGACTAAATGGAAGGCTTTTTTCTGTAAGGATGAGACGCTTTAACAGCAACCAGTTTTCATCGAATTCAACAGGCATACCTTGAACTTTTACTTTTGTACAAGTGATCATCATCATTTGAGATTTCGCTCGATTGCTGCAGTGGTTTCGGAACTGGGGTAGACCAATGATTACCAGGTAGATCATCTGAGAAGTATCTCCTCCTGATTAACTGAAATAGTGAACCCAGCACTTCAATAATTTAAGATAGATTAAGTAAACCTCAGTTTAGATGCAAAGCAATAATACACAGACCATGCGGAAAAACTTCATGACAGCTTCTTTGTCATATCTTGCTCCCTTAGCGGCCTGCAATATTTCAAAAACATTACACTGTAAATCTATTGACACTTACTGTTTAAAAGAGATTAAACTTCTTATTCATCATTTTTGAAAGAAATTTATAAACTTACATCAATAAATAGCAACATGAAATAAACTCAACATTCGCCTTTGTCACAAGACTTATTATCATGGGTGGAGCTAGAGTGGCGGAAGGGGAACCCCCTTTGCCGGAAATTACATATAAGGTCAAAATTACTTTTTATGCATATATAGCAGATGTTGGATCCCCTTGACTTTCTCATGTATTTACTCCTTTATATTGAATCCCCTTGCAGATGCATGTTTAAAAATTTCGAGGAGAGTTGCTGGGGCTGGGGAAGGGGGCGAAGCTAGTAATTTTCCAAAGGGTGTTCAAATTTAAAAGAAGTGAACACCTCTAAAATGTAATATTTTACCTATTTATAGGTGCAATTTTTCGACGAAGGGTGGTCAGTTGACCACCCTTACGACAATGTGGCTTCGCCAAGGGGGGGGGGGGGGGGGGG